CAGGGGTGACCCCATGTGACCCCATTTGACCCCATGTAAAATATTCGCTGACACCAAACAGCTTCTAATTTTCTGCCATGAAATACTTGTATAAGCTCACTTATACTCACAAATGTGCCTAAGTTAAGAATACAGTAGAAAAACCAACAACTTCACACCGTGGTTTAAAATAACCGAGGATGCTGCTGCGCTGTAACTTCCCCCCATCTGCTGTCAGATGCATGAAAAACACCTGGGTCTTGTCTTGACAGTTTGTTTTATTGAAAAGTTGTCGGAGTAGCCCGGGCTGCTCCCGCTGCCTCTGAGGTCATGGATTATTCATGGCTGATGGAGGGAGAGGAGATGCTCCCGTCGGGTCTCGTGTCAACAGGAGGAACTACGCACTGTTGAGACACGGACACGTTGATTGGTGGGGAGAGCCAACGCCTCCTCCTGGATTACAGGCAGGGATGAGCCAGATGTGCTGTCCCTCCGACTCCCTGCGACCGGCTTGCAATGCAATGCACAAATAGAAATGTGGTGTATCGAGCTGCGTTCAATTCAATTCAATTGGTGGAAATCCTAAAATCATCTTCACATTCCCCTCTTTGTGGACTCCATCCGAAGGTTCTCCGTGCTTCCTGCGGTGCTGCTAAATACAGACGAGGCTTTTGTTTACGCTCGTCTCAGTTATTCACGTCCATTTTATTGCCAAAGTCTGTTTTCCACCCACACATTCTGCTTTGACCCTGACTTCACCGTTCTCGCCTTGTCAATTGGAATTACTTGTCTATTTATTTCCTTCATTTGAGCTGTTTGTATCTGCTTTTGCTCACCTTCAACTGAAAGTTTACTGCTTTCATTCTCTGCCCCGAAAATGTTAGTGCTGCTTTTTGTGCCGCAGAGGCTTTGAGGACGATTACGGTTCAATCTCCAGGACCAAGTGTGGAGTTCTATCTGAGACGTTTGACTGTGAATCTTTAGATCTCTCATATATGGATCCTTTTCATGTCTTGCTTTTTTGCACCAAATGTAAAATCCTTAAAAACCTTTTCATGGCAGAGAAGAGTTGGGAGACAAATTGTTCAGCTCTCTCCAGAATCACTTTTCATTAAATGTACAAATCCATCAAGGGGCATTTGGTGCCTGAAAAACATCACATCGCTTGTTCTGCAGGATGAACCTACTTTTTTATTTTTTTCATTCAGAATGTAGAAGTCAGTTAACCTTGACAGACATTCCATCTGTTCGGTGTTGCTGAGGACTTCATTAATTTGTTTTGCGGTGAACACACACCTGTGGAATGTTTGTCCATCAGCACCGTGGGCGCCGACCTTCACTCACTTCATACCGAACTTCACAGACATTTTTTATTGCACAAGAATGCAAAAAGTATCATTTAATGGCGCTCCTGCAGACAAATACAGCATACCCCTTCATTTGTCCTCAGAGTCCAACTGCAAAACCATTTTTAATTTCTTACCTCTCAGTCGCCTGCTCGTTTTTATCACTAGACACAAGTTTACTGTTGACGTCCATCACTATCTGTGTGTGCAGTAGAACTTGAGTTCGCTGCCTCACGGTGCACCACCTGCACCGTCAGGTCAGGTTGGGACACCCGCCCTTCCTCTGTCACTGCTTGCCTCAGCGCTGCTGCCGCGCTCACGGTGTGTACTCTCTCTCTCTCACACACACACACTCACGCTGTGTGTGCGGCGGGATGGGATGAAGGGCTCTGCGGTGGCTGTTTGTGATGGACCTGACTATGGAAAACAGCCCCAGGCAGGGCTCCCAGAGGGACCAGGATTTGTGGCATCTTCATGAAAAATATTCCTGTAGTGCCGGCTTCTGTCACCTGGGCGCCTGTGGGTGAAGCCCGGCCATGGCAGCCGGCCAACGGGGAGAGATGGAGGGGACTGTTTTAAAGAAGGAACGGGATGGAGGGAGGCCGATGATGAGGAGGAGATGGAACGATTCAACATTTATGTGGTGTCAGATTTACGGTAAATATTATTGATGTGCCGGTGGTAATTACCGCCGGGCACGTGGGATGTTAGTTCCCCAATAAGCACATCATGGCGTCGAAGTCAATACAACAAACAAAGACAACATTTTATAACCAATAGAATCCATTCTTATGACGTGTAGTAGTGATAGTAGTTTAGTTCTGTATTTGATGATATTAAACACGTCCTGTGCTTCTTCGTATAGATAGTATTGTGCTGAAGCATCGTGCACATCTGGACCTAAATATGACTTTTTATGGTGACCACATCTCAGAATCGATGCATTGCATCGCTCGTTGCTTTTGTTTCATTATTTTACGATGAGCAAACTGAAACTGGAGATATAACTCAGACTATCATATATACATTACATAAAACAATAACCTTCAAATGCCATCCAGTTGCTGAGTCCACAATAGTTGCAGAAATTGACCTTAAACAAGATTACGGGCTGAAGAGAATAATCCCAACTACCCATAATCCTTGTTTTTTATGAGGTTTTATATGCTTTGGTATTTTTGTTCACTCAATACAGGAAAATCACCAGATTGTGACCAAACCCAAGAATTACCACCTCCTGCTCCGCACTTCCACTTAGTGCCCAAAATATATCTTCCACACTGGTCAAGAAGCATTCCCTAACAAGCCCTTATTTCAGACACGCGGCCCCAAACGTTATAGCTGAATCATTTCAATATTGTTTTAAGTTTTGTTATACGAACAGTGGCCATTTTTTTGCAAGCTTTGGTATGTTTGTTAGATTTGTTTGATCAACACTGTCAGGATGTTGATTTTATGAATGCTAATGTGTAATCATTCTCTCAAAGAACAACCAGCTCTAGTTTTCTGTATGCAAATGTGTAATGTTAAAACAATCCAAAATACTCGCTCCCCTCAAGAAGTAATTAGATACCTACGGTCTGGTAAACACCACAAGGATGCATCAAAGAAACAGTGCTGTTATTTTGTGTTTGCATTTCCCCCGAGGAGGGACATTTCTGGCATATATTTGGGCCGAGGCTCTTCGGGTGATACACTGGAGGGGGAATTTCCCATGTCAGGAGGAAATCAATTATTCATTCGGCGCCATGCAGGGTTGAGCAGCACCCTGACAGCTGCAGAAGTAGCTCTCAGATTAAGGACAAGTATGGATGGATGTGTGTCTCATGTATATTCTTTTTTTCCCATGTTCCCAAGTTTATTGCGTGTGCCTCCATTGGCAGCGTTTAAAGCCCCCAAACAGACGACTGCTCTGCAGCAATACGACAATAGTAATGGTTTAATAGTGCATCAGCAGCATCGATAAGACCGTACTGCAAAAGGCTCTGGAACGTGTAGAAAAGGACTCGGTGTCGATGAAACAAAACACACATTTTGGAGTTCCACCCAGATGCCGGTTAGAATCCAAGACATCTGTTGCATGACGATAATTTCTGCACATCGTTGATTTTTAATTGAATACCCACCACTTTTTTAAATATTCAATGTGATGAGGTTTGGTACAAACTGCCGTTTTTATGACCCGTAAAGGCCCCAAATCTCACAAAAGGGTGTACTGACAAATGTTATACTGTAGAAGAATGATGATTAAGCCTAGAAACATATATTGTGTTTCTAAACATGTATTTCTGTCGTGTTCCATTCAGATGAGGTGAAATAGAGGATAGCAGATGAGGTGGACCAATGCATTCTCACAATTAACCTTTTCTCCAAACTAATTTGAAGCAAAGTGCATAACTATGCCTGAGGAAAGTCAGGATAGGTCAACGGGCCGCCTATTATCTGGCTGGGCCAAAAAATATAGCCGACAAGATGAGGTCCGCGATTCATGTCAAGAGAAAAAAAAGGACCTGATTTGGACAATTGTGGTGTGTAGGTCAAGAAGGCCGAGGGGAGGCGGGTGAGGGAGTGGAAGTCGATTTCTTGGCCTTTCCCTTGGCCTCCAGGGGCCACTCAAGAAGAAACCGTCCTGTGTATGTGTGTGTGCATATACTTCGTCGGGACTTTTCGGCTCTCAGATCCAACCCAAATCCAAGCCCAGATGCGCCGCAGCAGCTGCCCGTGATGGCTGTGTGAAAGCTGTGGGCTGAAGTTCGCCTGCTGCCTGGGAAAAGCTATTGATGTTGAGACGTCCCTCCAGCTCGGAGGGAGAGAATGGAAACCAATTTGTGGGACATGTGACCCGTGTGCGGTGGGACTGAGTGGCCGCGCTAACAATAAAGGGGGACCTTCCGTCTCTGGCGTCTCCTCTCGTGCGAGCGCAGGCAGCTCTCATTAACTTGAAGCGAGTCTGCAAGGATTCACACCGACTTTTGTGAACGCTGTTATGATGAACAATTTATTTTTTGTCTTTTTTCTGTTGATGTTGTCATGAATACCTAAGAACTTGAATATTGGAACATCTTCCAAAGGCTTCATCTGATCAAGCCGTGCAGAACGGACATATATTTAAAATGTACACTCTCGTGCACAACAACATGGAGGCTCAAACCTTGTATTGACTTTCGACCTTCGACAAAGGCAGTGCTCAGGTTGTAGCTGGAAAGTTGCATTTGCAGTTTTGAGTGGCGTGTTTACCTGCCGATTAGGATGCAGTGCTGTATTTCCTGTAATGAATCAAATTCCATTCCACGGTTGTTGTTTTTTTATATAATGTAAAAGTTTCAACAAGGATCTTTCATTTTTATGTTGATGTTGGCGGCCCCCGTGGATAAAAGCGGCAACGTTAAACGAGCAACAGATTCCGCGTTGGACGGACGGAGCTGCGAGGCTCACCTGGCCGCCACCTGCTGGGTCTTTATGACCTTCAGTAGGAAATTGCCACTATTTCCCACAAGGCAAAAAAACACGTACAAAAGTAGCAACCGTTCACACTCTGCTTTTAGCTCCGTGTTTGGTCCCCACCGACTGCTGAATGCTTCCCCGTGATCACCAGCCATTTACATTCTTCATATTGTGGTGAATTGAGACCGTGTGATTTGGGATTTGTTTTTCAAAAATATGTCACCACAGGTATATGATAGTATCACAATTTATTACAAAAAACTAGAACTTTTTTCATCTGTCCGTGTTGCCATGCTTTAAGCATTTAACAATACAGTATAAAATTTCAACCTAAAAGTCATATCGTAAAAGCAAAGATCATAGATGCTGACGCAGCATTTACAGAAGTTAAGACATGCTGTTACTGTACAGAGAACATTCCCACTGAAGTACAAACATCTGCAAAATGTGTCACTGTCATCAATGAGTTACATTTTTTTAATAAACTATCTGATCCAACCACATGTGGAGTGATACAAGAAACACCATTTTTTCAAAACGAATCTACAAGAAAATAAACACAAACACTTTGCAAATCATAATGAATGTGCTGAGATTTTGTTTTTTCAACAGCCCAAGGCACTCAGGCTCAAACGTTGGCAAAATATATGTCATTCTTTACATAAATCATGTCAAGCAGTTGGTGGTAGGGAACAAATAGTGAGAGAGAAGCAAAGTCATTTATTTCCTGGCCTCCTGAAGAGGGACCTCCCTTTTTAAAAAGAAGTCCATCTAGTCCTTTTTTCACAGTGAAAAACTCTGGCAGTCGAGACAGAACGGCGTTTGAAGAAGAAGTCAGTTGATTGGCTGAATTGCGTGACATACTACATGACTTCCTACTCATTTTGTTTCCCGAGAGCGTCCTCTGCTCTCCAGAGCGTCGGCGGCTGCTTTTTTCCAGAACACAAGTAGGCCCGGTGGTGCTTTCGAGTGCCGCAGGATGCCGAGGTGTCCCATCGCTGGGACCTGTCTCCGAAGTATTTGGTAAAAATCTATCAAGTGTCCACAAATTACGTTTTTTTTTTTTATATCTATGTCAGATCCAGATGCTATTCACTGAAACAATCTTGATTTCTCAAATGAGTTTACCAACGCTGTTAACAAACGCGTCTCTCCTCTCCGCTGTTCAGTTGAGCTGGCGACAAGCTTCAAATGTCCACTTCGAGGCCCCTCCGTAAATGTCCAGGCTCGTCTCCATCCACGCAAACACGTTGCCCACTTGCGCTTTGCTGCTGCACGTCGCTAGATTGTAAATCTCTCCGACCGATAGTTTCCGATCCCAGATGTGAAAATTTGCCAGATCTCCGACAAAAGCTTGTGTCGCATCAAATCCCCCTCCGAGCGTGTCCTGTGGGAAAGACAGATGGATTCAATTGAGGAAGATATGGCTTTCCGCCTCCGGAGGCCGTATGAAAAGGATCCAAATGGCCTGGACCGACTAAATTGAATGAGGCATCTTCAATCCGCCGGGGTTCTTGATGAGCTCCAGTTAAAGATCTAATCATCTTATTATTAAACATTTGATTGGCAGGGAACGACTTGAAAGTAGGGAAATGGAAATATTACTTTTATGCGATCATGTTGCGACACCGGCGTGATAATCCTTACACGTCCTACAAAGGAACAAGAGGTGCTCTCCAGATGTGGCCTGTGCGGCTTGATCCCCTCATGGAGCCGGAGAGCATTTGATGTGCGTATGTCGGTGTGTGTCGGTGTGTGTTGATGCGTGTTGCGTTTACCTGCTCCTGGCCGAGGATCAGCAGACCCTGCGGTTTGATGGGATGATACGGGGCCAGATTCTCTCCGCTGCCTCTCTTGACGCCATCTTGGAAAGCTTCCCAAACGCCATCCCGAGTGGTCCAGGTCACGCAGATGTGATGCCACTTCCCGTCGTTGATCAGAAAAGGCAGCTTAGCGACCTGGAAGAAGACAGACAGGACGTGAAGGTTCGAGCCCAGGTATCAACACATGGAGACATTTCCTCAGCGTGTTGCACGTGCCTTGTCGTTTATGAGTATCTCCATCGGGTTGTTGCCCCATTCTATGAGGACCAGCTCGTTGGCCTGACCAGGAACCGCGTAGGAGAAAGGTGTGCCCACTCCCGGGGAGGCGTTGGACTTGAGCCACATGCACACAGTGAGGGCGTACATCTCCGGCAGGCTCTTCTTCACTTTGGCGTACATGTAGTTGGTTCTCAGGGGGAACGTCAGCTGGAATTTATCCAGAGGCCTGTTGTCTCTCTGACCTGCGGAGAGAACAAACCATTTTTTGACCTTGTACACTTTGGACCAAAACATATCACGTTTTTTTTATTTACTCGTGTGTTCATTTTGTCGAAAAGAGATTTGTCTTTCCTAATGCCCACATCCCGGGGATTTACATCTTACACAACAAATCTCCAAATCTCCGGATCTGCTGCGGTCTCGCGTCATGCATCCACCACATCAGACGCGCTGACGTTCATGTTGGTTTCTCTGCATTGTTTGACGCGTCTGAAGAGCACAGCGTGCGTAAACCTGTCAAGTGGCTCGGCGGATGGAGGCAGAAGTCCCTCCTGGCGTGTTTGAAATGGTTTAATCTGCATGATTTAGAACAACAAACTGCAGAATGTACCGCGAAGATCCAGCTTTGTGCGGATGATTAAAACATTACATTGAGTGCTGAGATCATAAAAGCTTATACTATCAAACCTTTTTTCTTTTTGCGTCACGTTTAATCGCCTGCCCTCTGATCTGCTCAGTGATTGCTGATACTAATCATTCTACTCATCTCTGCACTGACTCCCACGTCTCATGAATACTTTAGTGTGTGAGGCTGACCTCTCGCCATAGCTTTTACCTTTCTCCAGGTCAGTGATCCTCTGGTGGATGGATGTGAGCGTGGACTCCACTCTGCCCCGCTGCTCAGTCTCGTTCCGGAGTCCGGGCTTCCCCTCCTCGATGCTGTTCACTCGGGACAACACCTGCTTCTCCAGGTCGTCGATTTTACTTTGGAGCAGATCTTTGAGGCTGCTCGCCTGCACCGAGTTGTTACTTCTGCTGAATTGCTGTTAGGGGGGAATAAAGATTCAGAGTGATGTAAAGAACGATAGTGAGTGGGTATAATGTTACAAATACAAATTAACCTTTAAAATAGTAACTAATTACATTTGTTAATGCTGGTTCGCTCTTTGGAAAAATGACAAATCACCTCTATTTTCTTCCTTCATATTATTATTAGGTTTGTAATTAATAGTGTAAATATTGGTATGTTGGTGTCATGAAGGGGATTAGGTCGTAATTTGGAGCTTTGCGCCAAAGTGAAAAAACTGCCCTCAGAAGCAGCCGCCTACCTCCAGGTTTTCTAATCTCTGCTTCAGTGATTGTAAAGTCTGTGATAGTTGCGTCAAAGTGTCCGCGGGTCCCCTCGATACATCCCCCATCGTGTTTTTGCTCCCAGCGTCCTTCCTCCGGGCCCCGGGCCGCGCGTCCCCGGGCTCGGCGCCGCTCTGGCTCTCACATCGAGACAACTTCGAGGTCAGTTCCCTGATGGTCTCTTTTTGGTTCATGATCGTCTCTTTCTGCTGCAAAACCGTCTCCCGCAGCTGCATGACGGTGGTCTTCAAGTCCTCTCCCGGCACGCTGTTCTGCAAAGTGGCTGCGCAAATGTCCATATCCTTGGGCACGGACGTGCAGATGAACTGCGTCTGTGCGCCAAAGTCTTGAGACGAAGTCTCCAAAAACAGGCAGGAAAACAGGAAAAGTCTCCAACTGATTCCGGTCTTGGTGGCCCGCATGTCTGCGTCCGTGCTGGCTCGTGATTTGCTTTTAGGCTGATGAGCCGCAGTGGCTTGACGCGCTCGTGTCCCGTTGTTGTTGTCCGCGGTCAGAGGAGGTGCAGCAGCTTTTATACGGCGAGCGCAGTTCTGCGCAGAGCGGGTTCACTGCATCACGACCGGAGGGGAGGGGGGAGATGGGAGATGGGGAGGGGGGCGAGCGCGCGCTGTCCCTGTTCCATCGGCTCCAGGAGCGGCGTCACATTCTGGAGATGAAACCCATTTTGCTTTCAGGGCTTCCACATGTTAAATCTTTCATCACTTCGACTATTTGTCATATCTCACTGTGTATTATTCATGTGGAAAACTCGCATTTGTACGCAGTGGGCTAGTTTGCGTGGCGAGGTTGTTTTTGCGCACGGAAAACTCACTCTCTCTCTCTCTCACACACACACACACACACACACACACACACACACACACACACACACACACACACGCATACACACGCATACACACGCGGTGGATGGAGATCAGAAGTTACCGCAATTTGTTGCCGGCGGAGTCCCCGCAGATCGAGCACCAAGGAGAGCGCCGACCACGTGGCCCGATCTCAGAGGAGCGTCTGAGATGCTCAGTTTTCGGTTGCTGCATTTTTTTTTCTCTCCGCTCGGCTCAACTGAGAGTAACGTGCAGATTATCTTTGTGTGAGCGTGGAGGCTGCAGATCATATTCTAATTGCTTCTCTTTTTATGTTGTTTATTTGTGATTAGGCGCGCGTGTTTATTTAATGAGGATTTTTGTTGTTCAAGTTTTACTCTCAGGCCGGCTAATATATGCCCCCTAATGCCACACACACACACACACACACACACACACACACACACACACTTGTTCCCATGGACCCTGCTGTAATCGTCTCTCAGTTTCTCAAATGATATTCTGTCCCTAAGCAATTCATATCTATTATTCAGGAGGGGCGATTTTGTTATTTTTCTGTTGCTCACTCGCCTCTCATCTTTTCGGTCAGTATTGACAAGAAAATGAAACATTTTGAATAAGTAATGAAAAGATATCGGCTCTCCAATTCAAATAGATTTTTTGGGAAATGTGTTGGGTTTGGGAACGGCCCTCCGGCTGCCCCCCCCACCCAAACAGCCAGTCAGTGGCGTCACTTAAAAGGCACCTGGTGTCATGGCCTCAGTGCCCCCTTTGGGCCTGTCCTGTTCCCCTGCTGGAGAGAGAGAGAGAGAGAGAGAGTTAACCTGCTGAAGTTGTGTCCCTATAAATCCCACTAATATTTAATACAATCCCTGTGTTGCTTGCTTACATTTTATCTGGCTCTATTTGTAGGTAAACTCAAGTATTGAACCAACTTGTTTTTAGCATCTTAAGTGATTTTGCCTGTATTGCGTTCTTTAATAATTTTTTTAATTACCACCAACATGTCTCTGCCTCCTCCACAGTGACTTATCTGCGTGGCTTGGTTACTAAAATCATTAAACTAGTATTTGCCGTTGTTGGTCATATTCCCTTAAAGCCCGTCGCATGGAAGATGAACATGGCGAGAAGTACGGAGACGCAAAGGGCCGCATGTGACAAAATGATGTTTCCATGTCATAATTTATTCAGTGATGATTTGAAGTATACATCAGACAAAATGAACCATTTTTAATATGTTATGTAGCGTAAACATAAATATTAGTCTGGGGATTTTGTTGCTTTTTAGTAATGCAGCCAAATCTGAGATGGAAAGAGCAGTTTAGTGATTTTCACTCTCCATTCGTTATCAGAGATGATGGACTGTTGAAAATAAAAAAATAAAAAAGTGCAAGATAAAGTCATTCCTTTTGATACTTTGGTAACTGTCCGGATGTGTGTAACACGCTGGAACATGCAGGTTAAAAAGTCACATACTTTGTCCAAGAAGAACCAACAGAAACGAACTGAACTGTGGAAGAGTCGGAGAACGGCCTTTGGCTTTTGCTAAAACATCATCAGACACAAATAAGAAAACGTTAATAGATGTTGTGGCAGACAAGGCCTTGAACTTCAGACAGCCTTTCAACTTTCCAAAGCAAAAAATGTGAGGGAACGACTTTTCTCTCCATCGGATAAATGAACCATTCCACCTCGTTGTTACCTTCCAGAATGATGTCATCATGCATGAGATTTTATCTACATGCACTTTATCACAGAGGCAGAGAAGCAGGGACAACGTCTACTTTAGGACCAAAGCATTGTAAGACGTCCAGAGTCCATCATAAGCACCCTTCCTCTCCTCTCCTCTTCTCTCCTCTCCTCTCCTCTCCCCTCCCCTCCCGTCCTCTCCTCTCCTCTCCTCTCCTCTCCTCTCCTCTCCTCTCCTCTTCTCTCCTCTCCCCTCCCCTCCCCTCCTCTCCCCTCCCCTCCCCTCCTCTCCTCTGTGCCAGCTGTTGAATTCATGAGGGTGTATACAAGCACGCAGGGCGAGAAATAATAACGGGGTTTCGGATGAACCGATTATTGGTGGTTGCCTGACGCTACATGCCCGTGTCACCAGAGATACTAATCTGATACAAACGTCCGCCAGTCGCTCGTATCACCCAGACGTGCCCGCTGCACCGCCTCGGCTGTGTCGCAGGAGAGCTGACGCGCCGCTGTCCACCTGTTGCGGTGAGCAGCATCTCCTCAATAATGCATTCAAACACAGTGGAAATGCTTCCTCCAGCGCCGGAGATCAATAGTTGCAATTTCCAATGTTGGCATCCTGCCTCGACTGGCTGGTATTTTTTTCCTCGCTGATTCCTTGCTCCCTCTCACCTTCTGCTGTGGAGACATTTTATGTTCCTTTTTCTAACACCCGGGGAGATTTTTGGGAAACTTTTTGCTTTCAATCTCTCCAATTGTAGGTTTTGTTGAGGCACAGTCTGTGTGCTTTGCATCAAGGACGAATTAAACGGATGAATTTGCCAATTTTGGTTTGATATACTCATATACATACATATCAAATATGCCTCTATGTGATATTTTATTTTGATATCTGTATGTATGAACATTCTTTGGCACCATGCGTTGAAAAAATACACAAATACCCATGAAAAGCACAAATAAAGAAATGTCAAAGAACAAGCCAGACAAAGCTGCTATTCGGCCTCGTCTGACCACTTTCTGTCTCTTACTAGAGTTGTTTCTGTTCTTCGGATCGATATCACATTTCTTCTGTAGTAATGGAATCTTGGTAATAAACACACGCTATATAAACATGTGACGAGTTTGCCTGAGGAAGCTAAAAAGGTCACCAACACTGATAAATAATGGACGGTATTTCATCGGTTCTATTACCAACAGCCCAATTAAGCCACCTCGCCGCACCCGAGTAGAAAGCAGCTGCCATTTTTGGGGTCGCTGGAACTTGAGGATGTTCGAGCTGTTTGGCGAGAGGAAAACGTCAGGCAGTTACCAGCGCAGTGTAAAATAAAACCGTCCACGGAGGATAATTAAGACAAAGACATTTGTACTCATAACTTCCCACCACTTCCCTATTCGGAGTTTCCCCGCATGCATCTACAGATGGTATTTTTCATAGTATGTTTGCCCTCCTTATGTTTTATTAAAATTTGTGATTGAGTTATTTCTCCCCCTGTGCTGAGCTCCCCCTTCTGAAATTGATACAATGCATCAAGGGATATTGGATCGTTTTCCGTGCCGTTGCGACAGCGCTCTCCTCCTGCTGGAGATGATGAGGAAATCCATAACAACGTGCGCGCGCACACACACAAGTCTGTTTTCATCTGCTATTTCCTCATTAGCCAGAATGTGTCACGACTGCGACTACGTTATCGCTACATCCAGGCCGACATGTCACTCCGTCATCGTTACACTTTCATGATGTCTCTGACGTTTGTCTTAAGCCTCCGTGCCGGCGACGCTTGTGGCTGAAGGCTTTATGTTTCTGAAGAGAGAGCTGGAGCTGCTTGAATGTGCATTCTCTCTAATGGCCGTCGCGGGGCGAGTCCCATTGAATACACGTCTCTGCGGCAATAACCTTACTTCTGACTTGAGTTATTACAGCCGTAAACATTGTCAACGTGAGTCGATGGCGTCAATCTGTGGTTTTCAAGCGTTGTTCAACAGAGCGTGATGTTCATTTAGCAAACGATGGTCCGATTTAGAGTCAGACGGCGATAAAGCGGTTTGTGTGCTGCGGGGCCCTTTCGCTGTGTGTATTGCGTTCATGAAAGGCTTCAGGATGACTCCCCGGGCCCCGTGGAGCTTTATCGAGACAATAACCTGATGATGACTTGCTGTCATCACCTCTTTGCAGACGCATTTCTACACAGCCCGCGTCACTTCTCGGCATAATGTTGGCATCTGTTGATATATTCGATCCTCTTCCACTGGTCCAAACCTACGTTGTCGTTATTCAGACAAAGAGGACTACATTACAATGAGCTGTTGGAATACTAGGTACATATTCCTGTCTACCATCAATAACAAGGGCAACTTGCCTCCCACAGCACATTGATTTCTCTTTGCCATAAGCTATTGTTTTTGACTATTGCTCTGGGATGAATAGAAGCCGCACAGCAGTCCTTCAGCACCGGAAGGGATGTTACATTTTGGATTAGGCATCAGACACTCTCAGTATCACTTGTGGATTTGATTTAACTCTCAGCTCAGATTCCTTCAGTACTGTTGAAGACTGGCCGCAAATCCTACAAGGACTGAGCTGCACACATTTATGCTTTGAATCCAATTTTTGTTTGTTGCTTCATATTCTTTCCAAGCAGCTTCGCAAATCACCTGCTAAACCCACCTTAAATCCAAATTAAGGGAGCCAAAATTGTTTTTCTGTTTTGCATACAGATTGGCAGAAGTGAATGTTGAGTAATATGTCAAACTGCACGAGAATGTAATAAAACGAGTCAGGCCACACAACAACTCCCTCCGGCATCGCCCGCTTCACCGCCGGGTGAGGTGAGATCGTCCTGCAGCAAAGTGAGAGGTAACCTGCGAGGTTTGGCACGTCGCTCTGTTAAAGCAGCATTTATTTACCAACCGCACGCGTTACGGCGGCCGATGACGTGTGGAAGTGCGTCTGCATGTCTGTGGCGTGTGTTCATGAGCAGCCGGCCAGGCGTGCGCAGTGTGTGTAGGTGGGAGCCTCACGCTCGGGCACCTCTGGGCTGTCAGAGAAGCTGTGCAGGCATGACGCGCTGTCAGGAGATGCAGTCTAATGATGTGCTCTTGCTGAACAACACAGACAGAGAACTGACTCACTCTTTTCAAGGCACCTTCTTTCTGCAGGAGAAAACACGGCGAGCAAGAGAGAGGGTTTCGGAAGAAAACGTTTGGCCAATTGTGATTCAATTCCACCTGCTGCGTTAATGGACGCGAGGCTCCTCGCTGTTCTGCTGATCAACATTACAACACTTGGAGGCCCTTTGAGTGCTGCTTTGTTTCAGGGGTTTGTTTGTCTTCCAAATAGCTGGAGTTGCTTCAAGATTTAATTTCGTTAAATTCTGCTAATTAGACTTTTGGCACTTCTGTCTGAAAATGTTGTAAACAATATGCAACTTATTCGGACCTCTCTGCACTAACGGTACTCGGTGGAGTTTTGCCCATTAGCAACAAAACAGGTTCATGTTTCATGTTTTTATTTCTACCGAACATTCCTGCAGCAGGTGTCGTGCTGTTCCACTGACCAACATTAGGGGGCAGTAACATGTGAAGACATATGCAGATACGCACCTGAAGAAGAGGGAATGTGTGTTTGAAAAAAGAGAAATTCAGATTACACACATTATTATTTAATTGAGCTGATGTAAAATTAACTTTGTTAAGATAAATTTCACTAGACCTCCCTTTATGACGCTGGAGAACAGTTCACCTTCATCTAAGAGTTCATATATCGCCTCCACGTTCTCGCTCAGGTCACATTCAGCGGGAACTCGGCCGCACTCGATAATTCCTCGGCAATCCATATCCATGAGTATATCATCGTGAGTATTAAAGGCTCCCGGGCTGCATGTGATGTCCCAGCTGACGCGTCGCGCTCACAGACGTCCGGCCGACGGGCGTCAAGGTATGAGCGCGGGGATTTATCCGTGATGCAATGTGGGAGACGATAAGCTGAGGCTGCGTCAGTAAAGACCTATTGATCTTTCCGTCCATCAAGGTCACTTCCCTTCAACGTGTGTGTGTGTGTGTGTGTGTGTGTCCAAACACAGGAGACTTGCTGCTGAGCCGTCCAAATTACAACTCACACTTCTACTTCTGAAACTCACACAGAATGACGATGATGATGAGCTTCTTCCTCTCGGAGGTCAGCTGATCGCCAACCTGTGAAAAGAAATGCCAGATTCCCAGGTTGATACATAAATCAGTGCTTCAGCCTCCCGCCCGGCGCTACTCCCCCTACCTCCCCCAGGCAGGCAAATATTTGGGGGAGCTGTACCTCTGTCCTCTTTATAATATATTTATAAATATCTTCGACAACTGCAGCAATCTCTTCTTTCTTTCCTTCCTGCCGCCCTCTCCGGTTTGTGCGCCCACTCTTCTGCTCTCTGCACAGATTTAAATGTCATTTCGTACTATTTTCCTTCTCCAAGAAAGGTTTAATTCTCGTCTCCCCACAGAAAACCACCAACACTACACACACTACACGCCCGCACACACACACACACACACACACGCACACACAGACCTTTGACAGGCCTCCCCCAGAAGAGAAGCAGAGAGCCTCCTCTTGCCCAGCCGCATCAATAATATAACTGAACCACCTCCACCAACACCACCATTTGCTTCTAAAAATAGACCTCCTTTTTTCTTTAATATTTCATTTGCCTCTTCTATCCCCCCCCCCCCTGTTCTCTATTCATTGTCTTTAAATAGGTGATGAGAAAAGATGTCAACAAATTACTCTGTGCTTCCTTTCCCACTTATTTTGCATCAACTTTTCTCTTCTGCCGATTGCAGTGAACAGAGAGGGAATTATTGAGCATAATAACATGCTAATGAAACATGGTTAACCAAACCCCTGCCGGCATTTTGGCCTTGTCGCTGTTAGTTTAGTAGCATGCTGAATATTATTCAGCTTAAAGCGTCAACATCAAGTCCAGACTCTAATTCTTGTTTCCGTATCAGATGAAAAACGAGAAAAAAGGGCCTTTTGTTAGCAAATGTCATTAGAATCGTTTCGGAATCGCAAATAAGACACTCGGGCGGCTGCGGGACGGTTGCCGGAGTAGAAAAGCAATAACGGCAGAGAAATCAGATCATTTCAATCTAATTAGATTTTTGCTAACCGAGATACTTATTGTGATCCGCTGGATTTAAATATCTTTGTTCTCTCTTTTCCCTCGTGCCTGCTTCATTTGCGGAGTGCACAAACAACTCGTCAAAGTACAATTCATCGAAATGTGCAGAATCTTCGGCAGAAGCTCCATCCTAAACCGGAATAATCAAGGGGCCGTGATGCCGAGTTCTGCTTGACAGAATCCCCCCCTGGAGTCCAGACACTGGTGGTGGTGAAGAAGAGAGTTGATGAAAACCAAGGACAGGTGAACAATGCCTGATCGCTGCTGGAGGTGCCTGATGGGTGGAGGAGGCTCGCATCTGGTTTCGCACTGAAATGACCCCTTAAAAAAGGTATGACAGCAACTATATGATTGGTTTAGAGCCACAGCGCGGCCTCTGTTGGTCGCATAAACCTGGGCGCAGCCAATCTCCGCTGATTGGATAATACCAGCTGAAGCATCTCTACATTACGTGTGGCATGAAGGGACTCGTCCTTCCAGAACTACCGCTTGAGCTCCATTCCTACGATCGCTACGAAGCGCTACTTTGTTACCCAACATGACGGCATCTCCCACAGCCAGCGCGTGTGAGCGCTAATCCGTCATCGGCGAGCCGATTGGAGCAGAAGGGAAACGCCCACTGGGACGCTGAGTCCACCCCCTCCATCGCGCATCCACACACTCCGCTCCGCCTCTCCGGGAGGCGGCTGAGTGCCGCTCACCCGCTGCTGAGTGGGTCTTTAGTTTTGTGGTCGACGTTCAGGCCGCTAAAATCTCGCCCCCCCCGAGAACCGGAGGAGACATGCTTTTTATTGTGTGATGCGTTCGGATGGAGATGGATCCAGACAGTGACGCCGGCCGTGTTTGTCCATTTATTTTTCATCGCAGTGAATGGCGTGTTGACTGTTTTAGCGGCATTACAGTTTAGTTTGGTTCTCCCTTTGCTCATCATTCATGTCATTTTTGCAATTTTCTTTGAAACATTAACTTTAAACAATAGTAAACAGTGGATTCATTCTCATCGTTTTTGCCTGGCATGCAGGATTACTGTCGTGTTTGTTCAAGGCCACCGTATCACAACGGCTAACTAATTATGATGAACAAATATGGTTTGTGTCATGTTTACAATGCAACGCTTCACTGAAACATAAATTAGGCTGTTGCACAAAGTGCATTTGGCAATTTAGCTGGTGCACATAAAAATGCAGAACATTGCAGTATAATTCTTCACAACGACTTTGAATTCAAGCACTGCAGCCTTTTGGAGAAACAGAAGAAGTTTGTTTGTTCAATAAAACGTTCTCTGTTTATTAAAAACTGAACTGAAAAAAAGTTTTTCAAGCCCAACTGTCTGAAGTATGAGTACCGCTGGTGCAGCTGCGGGTTTGTGATGCCTGTGGGGATTTTCAGAAGCACCTACTTTAAAATCAATCACAGCATAAAACAATCTGCACTCAGAGGGCTGAGTCTCCCACTCAGGCTGTCTCTTCTCTCTCGATAACCTCAGAGACATCTTCCTGTTAGCAAGCAAAGAGGGGAACCGTTTTTCACATTCATATTCTGACAGATACTTTCCGACAGCAGTTTATACAGCAGCTGGACTGCTGTTAATGCGGTTCCTCGCGTTACCACGAGGAGAAATCGAATTGCATCAGCGATGCCCTTTAAAGTTTACCTCCTGCACTCAGTTGCAAATAACCGACTCATGCACAGTTACTTCTTTTAGATGCTTCTGCACTGTACAACTTTTCACTGTAAAGTTACAGTAACTTACTGCCAGCAGTTTCACCAGTAAGATACTGTCAAATTTACAGTACGTATACTGTATCAGAAGAATACAGCAGCTTACTGTATTGCAATTATACTGTACTTTACTGTAATTCCGTTTCACTAGTAAGATACTGTCAAATTTACAGTACGTCTACTGTATCAGAAGAATACAGCAGCTTGCTGTATTGCAATTGTTAGGGATTTAAGCCAGAAGTGCACCCCTAGTCATAGAATTTGTAGTATGTGTAATGATGTTTAGTGATAGAATTATAGTTTGTGTGTTATTAGATATTAGTTATTACATTAACATGTTAGATGAAGTGAATGCAATTTCAATCAAACACAATTCATAGTCATTTAAATCATATAAACACTGTACACATTAACATTCTGTCACAATGAGATGTTAAAACCTGGGGACGGATGCCAATTGCCGTTCTTTATGGATTTCTCCCAATTTTATCCCCAAAAAGGGTTTTTTGGGAGTTTTTTCTCCTGTCAGGTAATAAAATGAACAACTTATTTCAAGGCAGCCAACTGAGGCAAATGTCTTGAGAATGGAACCACATGAACTGTCTTAGATCTTATGATGAAGTGTGATGAACGGTGATCATTAATGATGGGTTGTTGTAATGAAAGTGTACTAGTTATAAGATGAAGACTTAAACGATGTATGCTTTGTTAAATTCACTCATTGAGGCATAAAGCCGAATGTATCTACATTGAGTGCATTGGAATGTGAGGGACAGCTAGGACAGAGAGGTTTCAGGTTACAGCTGCAGCTTCACACCTCGACGTGAAGGGGACAATGGAGGAGGTGACCCTTTGGAGAAGAGGCCAATGACATTCAAATGCACCAAAGAAGACACACCTCAAGAGTTTTCAAAGGACCAAAGCGGGGAAAAGACTGTTAGAACTTCTCCTGCAGCCGCGTTGATAAGTCACTTCAGACTTGCTCAGAGGAAATTCTCTATTTCGCGAAATATTCCACTGTTCGCTTAGTATTTCACTTTGTAATTGTAATCCCTATTATGTTGTTTAGTCATTAAATACTTTTTGATTTTTGAATTTAAACGATTTGACTCATTCGTGTCCTCGTCTCGGCCGGGACGAGAACAAAGGATTGGGCCTCCCTCGAGAGCTTCCGCAACCCTTAACACAATTATACTGTACTTTACTGTAATTCCGTTTCGCCAGTAAGATACTGTCAAATTTACATTACCTCTACTGTATCAAGGGAATACAGCAGCTTACTGTATTGCAATTATACTGTACTTTACTGTAATTCCATTTCACCAGTAAGATACTGCCAAATTTAAAGTACCTCTACTGTATCAAGGGAATACAGCAGCTTCCCATTTAAACCATGGAATGTATATATTGATATCATTGAAAGAGGGATTGCAAAACTCTGGCACCTCATTATTTAAGCTTACTTCAAAATGAATATATGTTACTTTCCTCAGATTCTTAGCAGTACCCAGTAAATTACTGTGAAAAGTAACACTTGGCTGTGGAAAATGGAACCAAGCATTATAACTCCCAGAATGCCTTGCTTTTGCAGCAGTATACTGTAATCAAAATACAGTAGGTAACAGTTTGAATTTCACTGTAAATTCAAACTGTGAACAATGAATTCATGTGTTGGTTGCAGAAACCACATGTGTGACGGAGCTCCTCGGTGCATCCACCCTCCCTCATTAGTGAACCCTGTCGTGCCCTCGGCGTCCTGTGCTTTTCTTCCGGCGATGGGCCTGGAGACAAGAAGAAGCAGACCTTCCATACAGCCGGGACACACGTGTTCCTTCAGTAATCGATGGAGACACCGCTGGTAATGGCTTCAACAGCCGAGCAAGCAGGGCGATCAGTGGCGATCGATCCGAGCAGGCAGCGGTGTGTGTCCGAGTCTCAGCTAATGTTTCACCCCTTTCTGGGAGCCGTCGGGGTCCTCAGGAGCAGCAAGGTGACACCCCGGGTCAGTCGGAGCTCTATTATTTAATGCTCCTCTCCTTCACTCCCTCGGCCAATCAGCTCGGGCTGAGACCTGTTCGCGATGTCTCTTCTCGTCCTTTCAGTTTTCCGCGGCGGAGTGAGCGTAAACACAGCAGCTAGATTCCATCGGACTTGTTCGAGGCTTTTGCTTTGTACATTTGCAACAACACTTACTTTAACTGCAGCGGGAGTTCGGAGGGACTGGCTGAAAAGGAGAATTAAATCTCTGAATGTTCTTGGATGTTTATGCTTGGACAATTACTAAAAGCTGCTCTCTCCCAGTAGATTCCACAGGACATTGTCGCTTTCTCCAATAGTGCATCCTCCCAAACGGCCTGCGGGTACTCGACATGCACATAAAACAGTGCCTCTATATTTACTCTTTAAAAGCCCGGGCAGTTCTGTCAGGATGCTTTCGGAACAGCTGCTTCTTCAAAGTGGACAAAATGTACTTTGCCATCTTGGAATTCTGGTGTACCCAAACAACCTCTTTGTCAAACAGCTTTCCTGTTCCAAAGCATTTGATAACTAGGACAGTAATCATTGCCAGCGAGTTGAAATAAGCACTGCTCTAAGTGGGATATAGTACTCATTTTAACTGTGAAAACACAATTGTTTTATTATATTAGCCTCAGTAAAGCTGATTTAATGTAGCTCTCTGCACCAAACACTTCATTTTACCCTGCCCCGGTCGATTTCACTTTGGCTTCGTGTAAGACAGGCCGTCTATTGAACTCGAGTCTGCCGACGGGAACGTAGAAGGTCTCCAAGGCTCAGCCGCCCGCCTACACTGGGGACGCACCCCAGAGCTCAGCAGCCGTCAATTTAAACTCGATGTGCGTCGCAGGTGCCAGCTCCGCTCTGCCTCTCGCCCGCCTTTGTGCATGGATGAAAGAAGCAAAGCGCCTGCCCGGGATTCAAAATGCAAAAACGGCACATTTCTGCAAAGTCAAACTGACCAGTCTGTGGACTCACTGAAGGTCCAACACATGGTCAGAAGGCTCAGCGTGTTACAGCGTGAGATGGTGAAGTCTGCAGGAGATTCATTTTACACCGCCGTTGAGCTCATTGAGCCCTGCTACTTTTTAAATACGTTTGTACCTTTTTGCTTTTATTCACGCTCCACTAATGACAATATGGTATCATCCTCAGTGCCTGAGGAAGGTCGTCCACCCGTTGAAGTGTATCAGACAAAATGTGTGAGGTTCAGAAAAGTTTCCAAAAGTATCATGAACCAAAAAAACCTTCTCCCACCAGCCTGAGCAGCATTTCATCTCTGAGCTGCAGTGACCGACTGTGTGTGTCTGTGTGAGCGGGCATGTGTGCGTCCTACTGGAGGCGGCGTGTGTCGGTCTGATGTGTGGTGGGAGAGGTAGCTCTGGCTGAGGGGTCCTGACCCCCCCCCCCCACACACACACACAAACACACAAACACACACACACAGAGTGGCGAGGAGATGGAGCCTGAATGGCAGCGAGCACAATGCCCACTCTTTAGTATCAGCAGCTAATGCACCTGATGGAAGCAGCGGCTGGGGAACGCTTTCATCTCGCATCTTGAAAGTGAAGCAGCGTCGTTGTCTGTTTGATGGATACTGCATGAATGGCAGGACACAAAGAACCAGAATATTTCTTTAAAAAGAAGTTCGGAGGGAATCTTCATGAGGCGCTGAAGGCGACACCGGGCCCCGACCTATCGATTTGTGTTCGCTTCCTGCTGCTCCGTTGGTCTGACCCCTATCGGGGAGACTTGTCTGCTCCTGTTCCAAACGCACAAATCTTCCAAGGCCACCGCATGTTGCTAATTCTGCAACGTAAACTCGCTAGTCGGGGATTCTTTGGGTCGGCGTTTTGGTCAACAACATTCAGTTTCTCAAACTAAAGTGTAGTTCTTGGCTGGTTTAATGCGGGTTGGAGACTTTTAATGGTCGCCTTTATCTTCCCCTGTCTTTAAAGGTCACTCTCCTCTTATCGGACAGAACATGTTTCTGACTTTCCGACTGTCAAACCCAGCATGTTCCTGGGAACCCCACGGGCAGCACCGAGTGTCCTTGAAGCATTTGCTCCATCTCTAATTGAAGGGGAGCTCCAGAAAAGCCCGAAGTAGCCCGAAGCGTAAAGCCTTAATATTACACAGCCCGCGACATATTAACCATACGATGCGATAGCCGCTGTGAGTCTACCAACGTCTACTGCGTCGTCCGACTCCTCTGTCAAGGAAAAAAACAGAAGCAAATTTTGTCTCAGACGGGGCAGAAACAACAGAGGCAACCAAAGTCCACCGCTGACTTGAGGTCTGTCCCACCAGCCGTCACATTTTATACAAAAGTCTTGTTCCCATTCATGCAGCTTGGTGTCAGGAATCATTCGAAAGGTTGTTTAAAGTTTGTTGTTCTGCAAACTATTTTATGCAATGATGGTTTTTGAGGGCATCTGTGGAAAGTTTTCTTGGAATTAGAGAAAAGAACATCGGTACAGAGCAAGGCACCCTAGATGCATGTTGTTAGCCCAGATCCTCAGTAAATCAATACCGGGGGGTTGGACTGGCTACGGGTGTACACACACACACACACACACACACACACACTGATTCCCGAGAGCTAGAATAGGAGATGCTCTGTGGTCGCTGGGACTCGTAGTGTCATCGTTACTGGTTGTCCCGACTAACGCTGCAATCCGTCACTTCGTTTCCATCAGCTGCTTCCCGCCGTCCCTCCAGTGCCGAGAATCCACTTGTCTTACCACTGAGAGGCATAAAGGAATGGCCTTGTGGGCTGAACACATCGATACAAACCCCTGAGCTGATCCAACATGATGCCGTGTGCACGGTGAGCAAAATTTGATACAAGCAAATCCATTAGAAATCGACTAAATGTCATCAATAAAACCCGTAGAGCCCCAGTGCGGCCCCCTGAAAACAAGCACAGAATCAAACTGTCTCCTCGGGAACATCCGACTCTGACAGCAGTAAAACACCGCGGCTGAGATTTCGAGCCTGACTTTACCCGTCTGAGCATCTTCTCAGTCCGGTCTGTGGTGGAGCCACCTCCACCTGCAAGAGCTCGAGCCTTGTGCTCCACATTCAGATGCCCCGTCCTTCTGTTTGTTCACGAGTTCATGCAACAAAGGCAAATTTTTGTTATAGCGAGAGTTGACACCTCTCTCTCCCTCTCTCTCACCCAGAGGTCCAGCATGGTGGGGTGGGGGCGCGGAGCGGTATTATTAGTAGAGGACTCTCCTCGTCAGCACGGCTGCGTGTGGGCCGCGTCGATCCTCTGAGGCGCCCGTCCAGCGAACGCCTCCCCGTCTCCTTTTTAATCGGCGCTTCGCATGCAGCCGGAGGCCGAGCAGGCCGCCGCACAACTTCCAGCCTGTGATGTCACGACGGAAACTTCTGAAAGGCGTCGATGTGGCATTTGACTCACTGTGTGTGCGGCTGGTGCAGGAGGCAGCGTTTGAATCCACCCACGGCTCGAGTCAGCCGTGCCGTTCTCACAGTGTAATGATGCGCGGGTCGTGATTCGTGTTTTGGTTTATTCCTGCACCAGCAAACAGCTTCTTGAGGGAAGAAATATTGATTATTGTCTGTATATAAGAAAGAACAAGGTCGCTAGGTGGTGGACAGCCAGGTTTTGGAGCCCGAAGGTCACCACCTTGCTACCTTTTTCTTTTATATAAATATATAGTTGGTTTCTCCAGTCGTATTCAAAGCTCTCTGTTGGACCTTCACTGTAGTGGTGAAAGGAAGAAGTACTTTTTACCATATCCGGTTCTTCCAGACCACGGACTGAACTATATATCCATCCTCTTTCAATTCCATGTTGTGTTTAATGATGAATTCGTATGTAAGCGGCGTTATTGTTGGTGCTGCTGGCAGAGATGTGTTAGGAATGAAAACATTTACCCACTCGATGATTCTGATTCTGATTCTAGAACTCCTCATCTGCTAGTCAGAAACCCAGCTTTCACTCTGAGAGTGTGTGTGTGTGTGTTATTGTGGAGGCTGTTTGTGACGGCATGGGTAGAGGACACGAGGCCCGTGACCTTTGCCACATTCCAGATGCCAGATGCCGGAGTCTCGTGGCAGCGGGCAGCTGGAGGGATCAGTGGCCTACATGGCAGCCGGTTGGAGGGAAAGCTCCACGCGCTCCGGCAATTAACCTGCAAGCGTAGCAGAGATCGGAGAGGATTCTACTCATTGTTTCCACCCGTGGGAGTGTTTCATTTACCTTTTATGTATCTTTCAAATTACAACAAAATGAGGTTGTTCACTCCACAGATATTTCATGTGATGCTGCCATCGGCTGTTTTGAACTTTGACAGCTGTGGCTGAAGTCTGGTTCATTTACAAAGCAAGTTGGGAGGGCCGGCGGGATAAACGGGGAAGTCCAAGAACTTCATTTGTTATCATTCATCTGTGAGTCCGAGCCAAACTCATCACGACGAAGATCCGCAGCAATCCGGGTCGTAACTAGCTGTGTCATTTGAGCGCGGGGGCGAGGCAGGAGGCACTGAGGTCAATTTGATCTTGTCTGTTTGCATCACCGGAGAAGAACTTCATGTGAGATGCCAACCGGGGCAACGAGCAGGTGCAGCAGCTCCGTGGTTCGGTCGTGATGTGGCTATTCATCATCCCGTAGCCTATTCTGAGGTTCTAAAGAGACGGATCAATCGATGCCGTCTGCCAGCGAGCCCACTGCGGGTCTCCGTGTGGAGGATGTGTGTGTCACAGCGAAACGCTCACTTTTACCCACAAATGCGCGTTTCAGCCTGACTCATTGTTTTAATGGCGCTCTGCTCGGCCTCTCGGCATCGGAGCCGCGTGCAGCTGAGAAAAAGCACGAGACGATCTCGTATTGTTTCTTCCCGCGTTGAATCGTCAGAATCTGCACTGTCACACTCCTCTGCTCCTACACAGCTGTGTGTGTGTGTGTGTGTGTGTGTGTGTGTGCGCTTGTTTAGCACATCAACGCTGTGAGGAAATTGACGAGCTGCGTGACTGTCCAGTCACGCAAACCTCATGTACCTTTTTATACCTGTAGCCAAACAGCTGGCGGCCTTTACCTCCGAACAATCAATCAATTCCCTCCTGATAAAACATTTATTTCTTCATTTGAGGGGGGCCTTTTCTGGCTCCCTAGTGAGTGTGTGTGGAGCCTCCACACTAATGAGTTACACGCTGCCTCCACAGTGGAGGCAGCGTGTAACTCATTA